GGCAGTCTCTGTGCTCAGGTTGGAGAGTCGGGCGGCTGCGGTGGAAAGAGCGGGTCGGAGTCTCACGCCTGCCGGGGCGTAGCGCGGGGCGATGAACGCAGCCCATCACATCTGCCCCAGGAGCTCCCGGCGGGCATGCCAGGGAGGGGGACTGAGGGACCACCCATCACATTTCAAGAGAGACCCTGAGCTGCCCAGCCTCCGGAGAGCCGCAGGTACTCAGCCCTCCAATCTGCAGGCTTAGGCCCCGTGCATTGTCTTTATTGACTCCACAAGTTTTTGGTTCCTCTCCTGGGTGCCAGGAGCCAAGATTCGCAGCCTCGCCCCAGTCTCCCGGACAGACCATTTCCATCCAGGCCGCATAGACAGTCGCCTCCCATCCCTCCTGATACAACCACGTACGGCAAGAGATTCGGCAGCGACGCCAGCGTGCGCGTTTGCAGCGTTCAGAAGGCGAAGGGGGAGTTCTTTTGTCAAGAAGGCAGTGGGACGCTGACTGAGGTCAAGGACAGCTGAGGAGCCTGGATCGGCGCCTTTACAATGCAAGGCAAATACTGGGCTGATTTGAGAGGAAAAAGGGATTTTCTTGTTTTTGTTTGTAGGGGGAAATAAAAGGGCAGCCTGCCGCTTCCCTCCCTCCCCCGCCGTCCCAGCGGCGAGCTCCGGGCGCTCTATGCATAAGCTGCTCCTTTGTGCACCATCTAAATGGTTAATTGTGTCGGGGGAAGATGTGCGGGCCAACGGGGAGACCACCCAGCACGAAACAGACAAGACAGAGCAATCTCTGCGCTGCTTCACCAGCGAGCGAGCAAAGTTGTTTAAAAATATTTAATTTACTGCATTCCATTCTGCTGATTATAAATTGGCCATCCAGGAAAACGCGGCTGTGGGTGGGGAGGGATCCAGGAAGCACGAACCAAATTCTTGCGATTGGTTTGGGGTTTGTGTTTTAAGGCTTCCTCTGCCGGCGTGCGGGGAGTTTTAACCCTCGCGCGGCCAGGGGCGTGTAGCTACAGAACATGCCTCCCTTTTCCGAGGGGTGGAAGCCGCCTTGGACGGAAACCCAATCCGATTGCCAGCTGCCCAGCCGTTGGTCATCAAAGGGTCGGTCAGAGTCCTGATGTGTCACAGACGGCCCGTGGCGTGGCTCCACGACATGCTGGTGGCCTTGACCTGCAAAGCGCCGCAGTGTGCCCACCTCCACACATCAGCGGCCTGGTGCGAACCCATCTGTGTCTCTGGCCCCCTCGGGCAGAAGGGGGTTTTAGGGCTCAGCCGGGGGCAGGTGAAATCCAAATGTAATTCTTTTCAGCATCAAAGAACCCGCTGCAAAGACTAAAGTGCTGTGTAGACTCCCCCTCCCCTCCCCCACGCACTGCGTGGCACTGCTGGGCATGAGCTGGCGCTTGGGCGAGGCATTAGCGAGGAAGCCGACTGCAGACCGCTGTCATCTGTGCCTTGGTGCAAGTTCAGTGGCAGGGGACACGCACCGTTGACCCATAAACCGTCACCCCGCTGGGCTGCCAGGATGGGCCGGCCCCTTTTGGGCCTGGTGCAGTGAGGTGGGTGCTGGCAGAACCGTGAAAACGCAGCTGTGTGTGTTGGGGCAAGATCTGGGTTGTACAGAAGCGACGCTGTTCCTCC